TGAGGACATGACTTCGTTCACCGTCCCAGAGAACAAAGCTAGACCAGATTACAGAAACTGCAGGTGTCCGGCCGAGGTCCACACCAGGCCCCACTCCCTGCACACTGTAACGGGGAAGGGTGCGCCGGGCCTGGAGGGAGGACCACAGCTCCCCAAGGACACACCCGGATCCGCAGCAATGTCACAACCACCGCCTCCCATCACCTGCCTGCCATTTAAGTTAATATCTCTACCCCTTCTCTCCTAAAGGCAAGGTGCTGGCTGATAGTTTTCTATGGCTTTTCCTGTTTTCAAACCACTCACGTGTTAACAGGTGTGCTGCGGGGCACAGCGTTGGCACTTAGAGCCCCAACTACCCATTATCCAACAGGCTGCCCTCCTTTAGCCCTCAAGCAGCCACGTGCTCAGCCCCAGGGAAGCATCTGGGCCAAACAAATCAAACACTGGGCTCTCGCATTTCTCCTTCCCGTCCGCTCTCTCTCCCCGTCTTCCTTACCCTGAGAAGCCTTCCATCCAAGAATGGACAAGAAGATGAGGTGAAAGAAGTCTTGTGGGAACTGTCTGGCTGAGGTTTTCCTCTGCACTTACAACAGGGAAGCCAGCTGGGGGAAGCCCTCCTTGGCAGCCTCTCATCCCAGCCCATGTCTCCCTCCAGTGTCTGTGAATGCCCAAACCCGCAGGTGCCATCTGTAAAACAAGGCCTCAGACATGGGCATGAAAGCTGAGGCCAGAACCCCGTGAGCCTGCAGCCGGGGGAATGGCCGGGTCGTGAGTGACTGCTGGCGCCAGGACGCCCACTGTCTATCTTCAGGTGTCAGGGGAGGAGTAAGCATCTTTGTTGTCTGAGCTGCTGTGATTTGGGAATTTCGTTACTTGCAACCAAAAGCTTGCCCTGGAAACCCAACAACGGATCTTCCTAGAGGGAGCAGAGTATGCCGCAGAGCTACCCAAATTCGGCTGATGCTTTGGTTTTTATTTTGAGGATTAATATGTGTGTGGCTGTTGTTGGCGAGGTGGGGGGAGAGGCAGAAAAAATTCAGCATTCTTAAATTTCCAGTAGGTTTAACTTTTGTATGAGTGCACTTCTTCACCGCTAAAAACATCAGTTAATACAATAATACAAAACGAAAAAGGAATAAAACGCCAAAATGATACGTATTTTAAATGTAAGCAGGAATGAGATTTTAGCCTGGAGGTAGAAAGTGAGGAAGCCGGCCCACTGAGTACTGTATTTTTACAAATGGTCTATAGTCAGTCACTCCCATGATTGGGCCACTTCAATATGAGCATTTTAAAAACGATCGGGTATGGGTTGGGAATGTGGCCATGTGCTGAAAACACCAAGATCACCCAGACAGACATGGACACTCAGCATCGAAGGCCACCGAAGGAAGGTCCGGGGCCCTGGGACTCCTCCGCAGCAGGTACGAACCCCTTTGCGAGAACTGGATACCCCTCAACGGATGCGGCCATTCAGCCCCGACTAAAGGATCAGAAATGTTTATACTGCTCACTCTGACAATGTGATGCAGCAGCTGCAGGGAGGAAAACTTAAGCTTCAGAAAAACACAGGAAGATAATTGCTAATCTATGTAGGCCTTAAATGCAGTTTTTGCATTTCAAAACAAAGAGGCGATAATCATTAAACCCTAAGCCTGTATATGTAGCTGCATTCTATAATTAAGTGATTATAGTAAGGTAATGGGCACAAATTGGTTATTCATGTGTCTTTGAGTACAACCTGACAATTACTTTTATAATATTATGATTGCTGAATGAGATCTGCTAAGATCAACACACATCTTCATCTTCTTCAGGCAGAGCTGGTCTTGTGTGTCATCGCTCTAGTACGGTGACTCTTATCTGGCGGCTGATTTCCCTCCAGCGACACTAGGCAACATCTGTGGACATTTCTGGTTGTCACCATGGAGAGAGGCGTCACTAGGAAACAGTGGGTAGAGGCTAGGAATACTGCTGAAACATCTGACCATGCACAAGAAATTCCACGTGCACCCCCAGCAAAGAATCTACAGCCCCAAACACGAAGGCTCTGAAATTTGCTCATGCGCAGCTGACATCCAGGCAAAGCTGCAAAAACCCAAGAATTCGCCTTCTCATCCAGACTAACAGAATGAAACCCACATCTTCTGAAATCTGGTGGAACAGACTAACAAAATGGCTCGCAAGCTGGGTCCAGTGCAGTAGCTCAGTGGCTAAAATCCTTGCCTGGCACACGCCAGGAGCCCATGTCGGTGCCGGTTCTAATCCCGGCAGCCCCACTTCCCATCCAGCTCCCTGCTTGTGGCCTGGGAAAGCAGTCGAGGACGGCCCAAAGCCTTGGGACCCGGAAGCCACGTGGGAGACCCGGAAGAGGCGCCAGGCTCCCTGGCTCAGCTTTGGCAATTGTGGCCACTTGGAGAGTGAATCATGGGATGGAAGATCTTCCTTTCTGTCTGTCCTCTCTATATATCTGACATTCTAATAAAAATATATATGCATATATATGTATAAAATATATATAAATGTAAAAATGACTCACAAGCAGCCTAGTTAATGAAAATTTTAAGCTTTCAATATTCTTAAAAAATAAGAAAAAAATCCTTACGTTCAAAAACTGTGGAAACCCTACTTGGAAAACATGAGCGTAATAATACATACACCACAAAGTCAGGGAGGTCAGACTGCCTACCAACCCAGGTCACAGGCTAAACCTAACCTAGCTAGAGCCTGAGTGGGGGCAGGATGACTGGTCCTCCCCAGCTGCCGCTCCCAGTGGCCGGGAGCCTCCCTGAAGCTGAAGATCACTGGACTGTCAACAGCTAAGCTCCTTGAGCAAGTCAAGGCATTGCAATTAGGCAGAAGGTGTTGGCTGAGTCCCAGGGAGCTGGCGCAGGTCATTATTTTTTATCTCTACCTTGCAGTCAAGCCGAAATTACTGCCTTGCGCATAGCTTCTCTCTGCTCACAGCCGCCTCAGGCACGCCAGGCGTTTGCAGTTGCCTCCTCGAGCCGTCAAGTAAACAGGGCCAAGCACACTGGAGCTGTTTACCGCAGCCTGTTTCCCGAGCCTCTGTGTACGGAGGTTACAAACACAATTGCTGGCTTCCAGGACTGTCCCCTCAGTCACGGCGCCCTAGAGATAGGACAAGCCTTGGGCATCGTCAGCAGCTCACCCCTGGAGCCGTCTGTCTGGGCTTTCTTATTTTAATGTGAGCTCAGATAACCCGAGCAAGCACATGGGGCCTCGCTAGGAGGACAACATGAACTAATGGCACAGCCAGCCGTGAAGGAAGCAGCGGAGACTGCAATGGCAAGCGTGAAGTCTCTCCTTATGGAGCAGTTCTCGGCAAGTTCAAGAATAAACGCTGTGCTACTTTGACTTCAACGCCCAACATTTTCATCAAGTCATCAAAACCATTTTACTCAACACAAGATGTATGTTTAAAATGGGCTTGGTATTGTCAATGTATATTTTATCATACAAATCAAAAGTTTAGTTAAACCCTTTTGTTCCATCAAGACAGAACAAATATTTCAACAGCTGAAAACTGTTAAAAGTCAAGGGATTTGATATCTAAAGAGGAATATATAATCAATCTCCCCCGGAAAGCAAAATATCTTAAAGAAAGCCAAGGAAACAGGCTTATTGGAAACTTCCAAAACATAAAAATTCAAAAATTACAATTCATCTTTGATCTTTATTTGTAAAATACACTTAGCTACTGGAGCTGCTTAAACTACCTTGGGTAAGAGAAATGCCTTCTCCTTGGAGCTATGAAAACACTATTTGCTAAGCATGCAAAACAATTACCAGCATCTTTACATATTTATTATAGTCAGAGCATGGCTCTTCAGGGTAGATTTACAGTTTCCATTCAGCCAGACAGCCAAGCACCTGAAATATGTCCTACTATGATCACGTTAAGAGCAGTAAAACTAAGTTCAGTCTCTATGTCAATTCAGTTTAAATCATCAAGCCGCAAAATCATCGACTCAAAGAACCATTTAAACAAGTATTTCATAAGAAATCGTGGCATTTATTCTGTATTTTCAGAAGGTCTGTGCTTTTTCTCCTTGACTAGGCTGTACCCCATGATCTACCCCTATCTTACTCTATGCTATAAATTCAGCCCATGATCGCTTCCACTATGTGTGGAATAACACACCACAGATTCATGTGTCTACTCTGACATGTTGGAGGAAAAATGGAATATTTTTGTAGGACCAACAGGAGCATATTTTATAATCCTGCATGAACTGGATAGATTTAACCTAGAATGCTCCCTGTGGAAAGGCAGCGCTGAAGGGGTGTGTGTGTGTGAGTCTGTGTGTGTGTTCGCACCCACATACGCATGCATGCAAGCACATGCACACACACACATACATGCACGTGTGTGAGAGAACAGACACTGCAAAGCAAAGGCCTCTTTCAGAGCTGGTCACGAATGCACATACAGACACCCACAGTAAAACCAACACTGCCAACTTACTGGTCGATCGCCTTCCGAAGGGGGCATAGCAAACTCCTTCCAAGTTACAGGGAAATTCTTCAGACTAACAATAATTTAGGAGCCATGAATTGTAGGCTAAATGACAAGGAGCACTGTGGTTGCCCCAGAGCCAGTTCTCAATTGCACCTGTTTCACAGAGAGGTTCTAGGCCACAAGACCGAACAATAGTGAAGAGAAGAAAAGACAGCACTGCCTCCCCCACAGGTGTCAAGAGAATGGAATGATACAAAGGTGCAAAATGCTTCTAATAGTGTCCTTGCACACGGGGACAGCTCAACAGAGGTGGGCTCGAATTAAGATGCTGCTAGGGCATCAAGGCTTAACCGCATGTGTCAGGAAAAGAAAACGAAGCACCGATGTAACTATTATTCACTGAGTGGAAACTACACATCCGATATTTCCAGCTCCGGAAGGCCGCACAGCCTAGCACGCACCGGAATCCCCGCCCTGACAAAGCCAGGACTGCCAGCTGCACGAGATACGGGCTTACCTCTTCTTCTTGGTGACGATGAGCACGTCGTTAAAGAGGAAGAAGTAGACCTGCTGTTTGGATGTCCTCTTGGAGAAAAGCACCGTGTCCTCTACGTAGGCTGTCAACTCGCCACGCTTCACCAACCACCGGGAAGAGGAGACCAAAGGAAAAGGCTGAAAAAGGAAAAAGAGAGAGAAAAACTCAGTGCCCAGAGCCAGATTAAAGACTCTTTAAGATTACCAAAAGTAAAATGCTAAACAAGCGAGTGATGTGTACATGATGGCATGCGTCACTACTTTACAGATGAAAATTGCAAAATATAACTAGAATTGCAGAGCTCATTCTCCAAGACAAAAATGAAATGGAACAATTGATTTTTACAGCTGAAAATGTTAACTTGTCAACACAAAATTAAAATCCAATGAGGAACTATTATTGGATCAATCAAAAAGTATGAGCTTCCATTAGCTGTCAGCCGGAAGATTGAAACAAGCAGTCACTTAAACCAGAAAGGCCCCATAATGAAATCTGTCTGTGCTAAGTGTAACGGTTTTTAATATTTCAAATCAGAATCAATGAATATAGGAAAAACGCTTCAGTTAACAAGAAACAAATATTAAAATTCACATTCTCTTTATGAACTAAGAAGTTTGTTTTCAAGAGACAAACATTCTCCACAGGCTTATGTTTTGTCTAACCACTATCTGCTGATTTTTCAGAACACCTGTTCCTCTGTTCAGGAAAGCTTCCCTCGTGTAAACAAGAGAGCATCCTCTCTAAAAACATAGCACTTTCTGACCACCAAAGTTCTTCTAAAATAACCTACATCATCTTGCAGAAAAGTCTGCAGCCAAGGAATCGTATACTGCCTTTTCCTTCTTCTGTTTTACACAGGCCAACTGGAAATCTCTCAAAACCACCGAATAATCCGTACCCTTCAGAGCTTTTTCTTTGAAATTTACCAGAAGTAGTTACTGCCAAAAAATCTAATTTAAAAACAATCTCCATAAAACAGAAAAAGTTCTTGGATGCCCAAAACAGTGAATGTAGTAATGTGGCACACTCAAACGTCATCATTTTCAGGGAAAAGTGATTAAAAATAGCTGAAGGAAATTGAAGATATTAGCGAGGAAATGAGAAAAGTTAGGAAAGGATTTCATTTAAAAAAAAACATTTTGTATGGAGCTTGCACATCATTTATGTACTATCATCCTGAAGATGCAAAAAAATTTTTTTTAAAGAATTATTTTTATTATTTTTTTTATTGGAAAGGTGGATATACAGAGAGGAGAGACAGAGGTGAAGATCTTCCATCTGATGATTCACTCCCCAAGTGAGTGCAAGGGCCGATACTATGCCGATCCGAAGCCAGGAGCCTCTTCTGGGTCTCCCACATGGGTGCAGGGTCCCAAGGCTTTGGGCCGTCCTCGACTGCTTTCCCGGGCCACAGGCAGGGAGCTGGAAGGGAAGCGGGGCTGTCGGGATTAGAACCGGCGCCCATATGGGATCCCGGGCGTGCAAGGCGAGGACCTTTAAGCACTTGCGCCACCGTGCCGGGCCCTGAAGATGCAAAATTTAAGACAAACAATGAGGGCTAGTTCCAAACTTCTCATAACTGGCTATTACAGGAGATCATGGAGTCTCCAGTCCCCTAATTCCAAATTAGCTAGCCCAGCCGAGCTAATTCCAAATTAGTAGCGACAGCCGAGGCCCAAAGGGTCACATCCAATGACCAGTGGATAGTCGTGGCAACCGTCAGCAAAACTAAATTTTGATATAAACCCTTAACATTGGCAGTGTCTTTCATTTTATCTTTGCTTCTCCTGAAAACAAAAATTTGATGGGATCAATGGTTTCTATTTCAGAATTTGTTCGAGAACTTAACTCATTCAGACCGATTTTCTTGAACAAGAGCCCATTAAAAATAGGCAAGTGAAAAAAACTTAGACCAACCGGCTAGTTGTTCACTCCTTTAGTAATGAAATGTTAAGCCAGATGTGAACCCAAAATTGGAAAGGAAATTCAAGCATCTCAACAGTACTAAAATAATGTGTAGGGGACAGCACTGTGGCAGGCGATTAAGACACTGCTTGTGATGGTAGCATCCCACTCGGAGGTACTGGCTCTGGTCCCGGCTGCTTTGGTTCTAGTTCAGGCTCTAAACGGCAGAAGATGGCTGAGGCGTTTGCGTCCTTGCCACCCATGTGGGAGATCGAGATGGACCTCCTTGCTTCCAACTTCGGCCTAGCCCATTTGGAGAGAGAACCAGTGGATGGAAGATCTTCTTCTGCCTTCCTATTTTTTTCTATTGTTGTACCTTTCAAATAAATACGTAAATCTTTTAACTTTATTTTTTTTTTTTTAATTTTGACAATCCTTACAAATTTAATTGGGGTAAAAAAGGTTCAAGGCCTAAAGGGGGAATATAGAGGAAGAAGCCCCGTAAATCTTTTAAAAACATAACAATATCTACTTTTCTTCTGTTACCGTAATCTTATACAATTAGCCACCTCAGCATAAAATATAACCAATTTTATGGAACAGCAAACAAGGAAGACCTGATAAACAGTAAATGATCTTTTTAATAAATTGACATAAAATATACATAGTAAGGGGTTCGTTGTTTCACCACTTCCAAGTGCATCTATAATTCAAGGTTTTTATTACATTCACAATGTTGTACAGCAATCACTAACTAGAATACTTTCATTAACTCCAAGTAGTTACTCCCTACTTCTCTTCCACGCACCCGCAGGACCAACCTGCTTCCTAACGTGGTGGATTGGCCTAGAACAGACATTTCACACACACGGGTTAAACACTGTGACCGCTCACTGTAACATTTCCAGCGTTCATCTACAATGCAGCACAAAACAGGACGTTCTCCTTTTTCTAGCCACGTAATATTTCACTGAACGGATTCTCCACGCTTTGCTTATCAATTCATTCAATGATTTATTTCTAAGCTTTTGTTGTTGTTGTTTCTTTCTGGCTATTAGGAACAACACTGCCCTGAAGATTCTTATAAAAAAGTTTGTTTGAACGTCTCTTTACAGTTCTCTTGGGTAAATACCTAAAAGTGGAACTGCTGGTTATATGGAAAAATCTGTGTTTAACTTTCTGAAAAACTGCCAAACTGTGCTCTACAGCATTTAAAATGTATAACACATTAGAGTTCATTTGCTTGTTACATGTTGGACGTCTATTCCATGAGATTCCAAATCATTAGCCAGTGAATCCATTCACCAGCAACAGGTCACTTTTTAGTGCATCAAGGACCAGCTTTAGAGCCTTCAACCTCTCCGCAGGGCCAAACATTCCATTTCAAGACAAGAGCTAGGGCCTGATATTGCAGCACATCAACTTAAACCTCTGCCTAGCTATGATGCTGGCATCCCATAATGGTGCCAGTTCAAGTCCCAGCTGCTTCACTTCCAATTTAGCTCTCTGCTAATTAACCTGGGAAAGCAATGAAAGACTGCCTGGGTGTCTGGGTCTCTGCACACACGGTGGGACAAACAGATGGGACCCTACGCTCCTGGCTCCAGGGTGGACCAGCCTGGCTGTTGCGGCCATTTAGGGGAATAAACCAATAGATGAAAGCTTTCTTTCTATCTCTCCCTCTCTTTATACCTCCACCTTTCAAATAAATACACACACAAATATATTTTTTTAAGACAAAAACAATCCTTCCCAATTCCATAAAGGAAACTTCTAGAAAAGTCTTGGCTCACGGAACAAACTGGTCTCTGGTTTCTGATCTTTGCACAGTGATCGGTTGGTTCTCCTGGACCTTTACTTCTTTCCTCCCATCTCAGATGATGAGCATGCCTCCATCTAACACCCGATTCCACTGTCTCCACCCCAGTGTTCTTGTTCTCTCTCCTGCTCCCCTTTCTGCAACCTTCAGAATATTCTAAAGACCATTCACTAAATGGTCAGTTTAGGGCCTCTCCCACTTGCTATCACTGGCCAGTCCTGTTTCTAGTCATCTTCTGAAAGAGAAGTCTGATGTTCTTAAACATTTTCACACCTTACTCACTCTTCAACAGGCACGCACACCATTCCCTGGAACTCTTACAGAGCCTCTGCACCATCTCATTGCTTGCTTACCATGATCAGGTCAGTCCTGTGTCTTTAACAACTCTTATTTAATCTTCACAATAACCTCATAAGGGCGAGTATTCTTGTCAGATCCATTATGCAGTCCAGAAAACCAAGACGTGCATATTAAGGTAACGCCCCTGATTGTACCGACACTCCATGTGGCAGTTACTCCTGCAATTCAGGCAGCCAACTCCAGGTCCATGACGACTTCCCAAGCACCACTGTCTGTGACACTTCCCTGCCTCACTTGTATTAATGCTGTTTAGTGCATGTCCCCCACAGTTAATGACTGCTACAGAGACAGACAGACACTTTCTAAATGCCCCTAACAGTCAGAGCGGAGCTAGGAGCCAGGAGCTGGGAACTCAACATGGGTCTCCCACATGGGTGAAAGGGCACCTTCCACTAAGACATCACTTTGTATTCACATCGGCAAAACTGAGAATTGTTCCCACAGTTGGGATTCAGTCCCAGGGACTCGACTGTGGGATGTGGGAGCCCCTTATCCAACACCAAGGCCAAGTGCCTTCCCCAGCATTTTTTCTTTTCATGACTTCTGGATGTGTAATACATTAGAAAAGCCTTTCTTCGTTGCAGTGCTGAAGTTAGCATTACTAAATGCACATCTAACTTGTCCCTTTCATGCTTAGAACTCTCTGTTGTGAACCAAATGACCTTGTCCAGCTGTTCCTTTTGGTAGGTACATGGAGCCTCTGTAGGAACAGATCTGCATTTTCTAGTGAATGTCTATGGTTACCACAGCATCATAAAGTTGAAACACTGCAAGTCAACCATTGTTAACCCAGGAACCATCTGTACTGTAACAGCTGCAGGTTTTCAAGCTCTTTGATGTTCTGGCTGGTAGACGGTAAGCTACTGGGAGCAGCACTCCAGTCTCTGCTGCCCTACTATCTTCCACAAACAAAGCTCTTGTTGGATGTATATACCTGGACAAATCAGCTAACCTGTTTTTAAAACTCTAGCTTTTCATCTTAAAAATCAAATGAATAAAAGTGCCCCCTGTTATCCGTAAAGTTATATAAGGTCCTGAGATCTGGTGAGCATTTCTAGTTAGTACTGGCTAGTTCTTCCATGTGGTGTGGATTAGATGGGCCACGGTAAATCTGTACATAGAACACTTTCCTTCAGGCTTGTAAATATTTTAATCACTGAAGCAAAAGAGAACAGACAGAATTCAGAAACGAAGAACTGATGTTGACCACTTATTTTTTAGGATCCTTGAGGGTAATTTTTCAGTTAAAAATTAATTTGGGTTTTCAGAAAACTAACTTTTTAAAGAAGTCTTAAATGATTGATGTTCAATGAAAGAGGGGAAAAAAAAAAGACTTAACAACTTTAAAAAAGGAAAACAGGAATTTTTTTCTCATTTTAAAAAGATCTATTTATTTGGAAATCGGACTTGCAGAAAGAAAGGGAGAGGACGAGCGTAAGAGAACATCCGCTGGTCCATTTGCTGTCGAGCACAATGGCAGGGCCGCGCCAGGCGGGGGCCAGAACCCGGGGGCGTCAGCTGGCCTCCCATGCGGGGGTGAGGGCCCAAGGACTTAGGCCAGCGGCAGGGAGTGGGATAGGAAGTGGAACAGCTGAGACTCGAACTCAGCGAGATGGAGATGTCACAGTTAGAGACTTTACCCACTACGTCACAATGTCAGCCCCAGAAATCATTCATTTCATATTTAAAAAAAGAGTAGATAAAAAAGAATTTTGCTATCGGAATTCTGAAGTTTCTAAATTTCTAACTTCAGAATAAAGAAAGCAGCACGTGATGCTTCCTAACGTACTGGAAGTGAATGAGGAGCAGGGATGCACTTCTTTGTAATAGTCAAGAGAAAGTTGTGCTTTAACGCGGCCGTGGATGTGCACATTAGGGCACGAGGACTGTAAAACGAGTGCCTGTGTGCACACACATGTATACTGCTTTCAGTAACTAACCATCACCTTTCATGTTGTGGATCAAGTCTGTGCATCTCAATTATTATTATTATCATTTATTTTTAAATTTTTATTGAAAGGTGGATATACAGAGAGGAGGAAAGACAGAGAGGAAGATCTTCCGTCCAATGGTTCACTCCCCAAGTAAGTGCAGCAGCTGGAGCTGAGCCAATCCAATACCAGAAGCCAAGAGCTCCTCCGGGTATCCCACACAGGTACAGGGCCCTAAGGCCTTGGGCCGACCTCGACTGCTTTCCCAGGCCACAAACAGGGAGCTGGATGGGAAGTGGGGCCACCGGGATTAGAACCAGCAACCACATGGAATCTCAGGTGTGCAAGGCGAGGACTTTAACCACTATGCTATCGCGCCGGGCCCTCAATTATTATTATATGCAGGATGTTGAGACAGAAGTTGGTGCTGACATTCAAGCAGGGGCACCTGGGTCTGACCTTACTGTCACTGCCTGGGTGATGCGCTAGGTCTCCTGTTACTTACAAGATCCAACAGTACCGGTAGCTATTCTGTATCTGTTGCCCTCAAAGTAGGTGGTGACATGGCAGAAAGCCCTTTCTCTGCAGAATGCCATGACATGATGATGACTGAGCCCCACGGCATGAGTTAGAAACACTTTTAATCAGAAAAAAAAAAAATGAGGGCCAGTCACCTTCAGTGTTTCATCGCATTTCCATACCATCAGGTGAAACAGTCAGCCACGAACGCGTACATCTGTTAAGATCTCAGCTGCGAGCCATGACTCAGATGTTCTGTAATTGTCATTTTTCTTTTCATCCTGTCATCTGCTGATGAACAGCGCCAGGCTCACAGCAGCAGGCAACATACATTCAAAAAGCAGCTATGGGAGAAACACACACTTGGAAGAAATCTTCCCCCTGGAGCCAGGGAGCATCTCACGCGAGCGCCAGCTGCACTGCTCTCTGCTCCCTTCGGATCCAGCTCCCTGCCGTTATGCCTGGGAAAAGCAGCAGCAGGTGGCTGGCACAGCCGGGCCTGCCTCCCCCGAGCTCTGCTGGCTCTGGCGGGCACTGGCGGGCACAGCTCTGGATGCTGCAGCTCCTTGCAGAGAGAATCAGCCAACAGAAGTTCTCTGTGTCTCTGCTTTTCTCTGTCTCTCCATCTCTTTCTGTAACTTTGACTTTCAAGAAATAAATAATTCTTTTAAAAAAATACGTGATTTAATAATCCATATTCACAAACAAACAAACAAAAAAGAGCACCCCAGACCAGCTCACAGAGTATCGCTTTCATGGGATATTCTGGAAGTAGTGATGAAATCTTTCAACTACGAAAAATAGCTCATCTTTTTTCCCCATGTTTGGTGTCTTGGAGGAGAAACATGTGTATCTAAGCTAACACCTAACTTCTTGGCCTGGAGAAAAGTCACTTGGAATGACCTACAGCATACGCCATCCCCTCTGCCAGCTTCCTAACGCATGGCCCTTCCTTACAAAGCTCCCCACTCTTCCTCTACTGAGAGTTACGTAGCAATGAGCATAGACACAAGGATACCTTTATTTTGAATTCCAGCTGGGAGTTAATTGTGTACATCATCTCAGTCCTTTCCATCTTCCGGGCGCCTTCATTGCACAGTCGGACCAACTGGGAATAGAGAACGATCGGGAAGGTTAAGAGGCCATGCTCACAGGCAGCTCTCTACAGGAAATAAGCAGCACCGGGAGGCCCCAGTTGTGACAGTTAAAGAGCTCACAGTTTACGCAGTTGCAGCATTGGACTCGGAAGGGCAGTGGTTGAGATGTGAAGACAAAGGGCAGGAAAGGACCTGGCTGTTTTTACAAACACATCCTCTGTGGGCTCTTACCAAGACACACATGAACAGGCCTCCTGCACTGTCCATACGTGACATCTCTGTCCACCCCTACTCCTTGTCTCTACCCAAGGAAGAACTCACCTAACCTCAGGTCAGGATACACCACTCTGCTTGCACCCAAATCAGAGCAGCTGGAGGCGGACTACCAAGTGTAAATTCTAAGCAGAGCATTATGTGCACAATATGGCACTAGGGAACAGAAACATGGAAGCCTCCTGGCAGAAATCCAAGGCTCCAGCCCACAATTCCTCAGAATGGCCAAGCTAAGGGACACTCAGATAAATCAAAGCCAACGCAGTCATGCACTTGTAATGAGTACCTAGTACACACTTGGTTCATCAATTGAATCAGAGTGAATGTTCTAGCTCCAGTTTCTCGTGCACTGGAGGAGTGGATGGGGAAAAAGTCTGTTGAAGGGTCACTTACCATAAAGACAACTGCAGCTGTGAAAAACGAACTGGAAATTTGTTTTTAATGGACCACGTGGTGAGTCAGGAGACAGGGAAATAAAGATCACCTCAGCTATGTCAGCGTGGCCTCTCCTGACACAGCTAAGGTGATGTGATCGTCACGGTCTCATCCCAGAAATGTCACCCGATCAAATCATTTCCCAAGAGTCCCCCATAGACACCATAAATGGATTTTGTCCTTAAACATTAACTTCTTATATTAATCCATTAACCATTAACATAAGGCCTTGAGAAAAAAATGCCATTAATATAGTGGATATTGGAGACATTCAAACTAATCTTCAAACCTTGGCAATCATTTACTTGGCCCTCAACAGATCTCTGCCCTGATTTGCACCATAAATCCAAACAGCTGGAAACTCTCCATAATTCTGTGGCTTTCCTCCCTTTTTCTCCAGCTATTCTGTCTCCTAAACTCAGGCTCAGCTCACTTCCCTACCTGGATTACTGGCTTCTGACTTTTTCTACCACCACCACTACCTTGCTTATGTATCCTAAAGAATAACTCGCCCTAAAGAATGAGTTCAGATCTCATTGCCAAAACTCCTCAGCTAAAAACGTGAGGCTTTCACAATCAAGTCTTGGCAAGAACTTTGCAACAGGATCCTGACCCTCCCACTGTGCCAGCTTGCACCCCTGTCTTGCCCAGTGTGTGGTCCAGTGTGGCCTTTGCACTTCTGTGTGTCTGTGTCCCTCTGCTTGGTGACATCTGCCTCTGATCTGTCCCACTGGCTTCCTTTTATGTGGATATCTATTTCCTATTTTCATTTTCAGGACTCGATTTTGTCATTGCTTCGCTAACACTGGACAGTAGAAACTTAAATGTTCGAACTTTTAAAATCTAGGGCTCACACAACACGTAACATGATGAAACGCCTAAAACCTGGACACATGTTCAGAAACAAGTCACTTTTAGATTAAGTCCCTCAAAACAAGAATGATTTGATAGTTACCACTCTCTGACTACAAGGGAAGGGTGAACATTATAAAGTCTAGGATATTGTCTGATTCCTTCAGCTTGTAAATTTCCAATCTACTCAGAGAAGATGGTAGTATGCAGCCAATAGGTTAATCCTGACCAAACTGAAGGTGCTAGAGAGGGTGGGCTGGCAAGACAGTCTCCAAAGAGCCTGGAGCAATGATTCCATCAATGGAGTCGAATTAACGGCAATTGTGAAGGCACCAAGGCTACTTTGGTATTCGTGTTCTGTTTTCATGAAAATCAGCCTCCGTGTATGAAACCCGGGGCTTCCTTCAGCATCTCCAGAAGCTGCATTAAACTCTGCTCACCCAAATGAGCAGAAATACACACTCCCTGAACAGAAAGACACACTCAATGCCACTAGTAAACAGACATAAATTAAAGCAAGACATAAAGTATTTTTGGTTTATTGAATTCACAGACATTAACAGTACACCCGATTGTGGGAAATGCACAGCAAGATAGGCATCATCAAAAACTACTGGTGCGTGTGGGGGGAGGCACGGATGTAAGCCTTCTCTAAGGCACTCTGGCCTTTAAAACCTTCCCACTCCATGCTTCCGGTAAACCAGTCAAATCAGCACAATCACTTCTGTAGGATGATGTCCAATGCAGTGCTACTCAGAATTCAGAGTACCAAATCAAACACGTCCCACATACACCTATTTTCCAGGCACTAACACTGAGACAGAAACTACAAGAACACTTGGTGCAATGACAATAGATTCCTGTGAGTGATAAAACGATGCATGCATTTTATTTTCCGCTTCACTTAAACTTTCTTTAATGTACATTTGTTATGTTGCTATAGCTAGACTAAAACCTCCCTTCGGTGCTGCTCTCCCTAGACCACAGCTAACCACGGCTGAAGCTTAAAATGTAGTATCCTACGCCCGTTTCCATGGAGCGATAACATGCACATGAATGCAAGCATGCTTTCACTCTTCCCATTGGCTCAGTGCAAGGTGTCTCTTCCTTAATCAGCTGTAACCAGTTTGTTCCCTCACGGGGCTCCCAACTGGTTCCATTCCTATTGTCAGCCTGGTGACTTCCATTCCATTATTCATTTTAGAATAAGTTCCCCATAAGCATAATGAGGTCCCACATGATGGGCTGTCCACTATTCTCTCTTATAGTGGGTTCAAGTCACGTGAAAACCTTGTGCTTAGATCTCTGCACACACTGGTTCTTGTTTCCAGCCTAAGCTTAAGTCTCAGTCTGGACTTTCCAGTCATGTCATTCACCATTCTCTATTGCACTTTATTTAACGTCTGCCTTCTTTGTTGGACTGCACATTCCACATGTGTGATAAGCACATATGTCTCATTGGTCACTCTGCATCCAGGGGCTGGCATTGTGCCTGGCACAGCAGCTGACAATACCCAACAAATCTTTGTTGAAGGAAAACATATATAAACAGCTCTTCAGATACCAAAAGGAAATGAGACATCTTTAGGCCCTTAAAAAAAAAAAAAACTGTGTAGAAGAGTAAAAACTACTAACTCCATCTCAGCATAGTTTTTCAGCTAGCTAAAGGATGCTGTGCAAACGGCCACGAGAGTCTACCAATGCAGACACACTCTCCTCGAGGTGCGGCACACTTCCCGTCTGACGAGCTGCTCCACGCTTACCTTGCTCACTTCCTTCAAAGCCCTTTTGCAGACTTCGTACTTCGGAGACTCCTTCGGTGTTTTTTGACAGATAGTCTGTAAGAAAGTAAAATCACACAAATTGCTTTTTCTGTCTGTAATGGTGTAAGAGCAAATGAAATTGACTCACGTAAAATAAAGCCAACGTCATATGAGGTTGAGACTGAAACTCTGTGTAAACACTGGGAAATGATCCTCACACACAGGACATAAAGGGAATCGAGAGATGATCCAGCGACAGCACAGCCTTCAGAGGCGGGGGAGCTGGTTAGAATCCAAGGTCTGCTGCTTGCTAGCTGGTTAAGCTCGTGCAAGCCATCGATCCTGCTGTCTTTGTGACTCAATTTCCTCACCTGTACAATCAGCGTAATGGCAACTGCATCACAGAGTGTGCAAGGTGCAAAACATCATGAAAAAAGTCTTTACACGTGCGTGGCATGGCGCTGACGCTGCAGCAAGCCGCCCAATCCTCCACCTGCAGTGTTGCCATCTGATATGGGCACTAGCTTGTGTCCTGGCTGCTCCACTTCCAACCCAGTTCCATGCTTATGACCTTGAAAAGCAGTGGGAAATGGCTCAAGTCCTTGGGACCCTGCACTCACGTGGGAGACCTGGAACGAGCTCCTGGCTCTTGGCTTCATATTGGCTCAGCTCCAGCCCATGTGGACATTTCGGGATTGAATTAGCCGATGGGACATCTGCCTATTTCTCTTTTTCTCTGTACATTTGCATTTCAAATATAAATAAAATTGTTTTCTTTTAAAAGGAGTACATAGCTATCGTAGGTCTTCAGTGAATAAAGGTTACTTTAATTATCACTATAGTCATTATTTAAATTAGCTAGTTTTTTAGACAATAGGTTATTAATAAAATGACCAAGGCAAAAGGCTGCTAGTTTTCTTTTGATATATTCGTGCTGAGAAACTTTATCTTTGATTTTAAAATTGAATTCAATATAACTTCTGAAACTATTCAAAGCCTAGACACCACCGGAACTGTTACAAATGTTCACCTCAATTGAAAAGTTTAGCGAAATGTCTAAATGAAGTCAAACTGAAAATGCAGTATTTTTTAGTGCATTTAGATTGTTTTAGCTGCCCAGAGCCTCAAGCACACATCAGGCGATGGTGGAAGGCAAGGCCACTGACCTTGCACGCAATGAGCAAGGGTGATAAGCAGCAGTCAAGCATGCAGACTGTCATATGTCATATGCAAGAAGCAGTACCATCTCTACACAAAAGGGTCTCACACTATGCTGATTGTGACACACCAAAACAAAACACATGCACACACAGGAAACGACACACACATACACAATCTACTGTCTTCAGATCGTGAGGAGGCTATTGGCCACTAGCCACGTGGGACTTGTGTCAAACCACTCGGTTGTTCTCCCATGGGTGTCCTGTTTCACAGCTGCTGCATGTCCAGCATACTGGAAGGTGGGACCTCGAGTCCTGAGCTGCAGGCCTTCCCAGCTGTGGAGCCCATACCAAGCTGTCCCCGTTCACTTCTCCAACCAGGACGTGCCATTATGCCAAATCAGAACTGGTTTTCCTTGTCTATCCTACCACAAGGAGGCTGCGTTTCCCAAACCCACTTTGCACGAAGCACAGCGTTGAAATGAAAGAGGCAAAGCATCACCCCAGACAAAGGAGTCTGAGGGATCAGAGCAAACTGAGGCCCAAACAGAGTGGCTTGCCCACAGGCACCTGTCCACTGGCTAGTCCAGTACACAGAGCCCAGGGCTTCTGACAGCAAGAAGCTAGTACTTTTCCCATTTCAAAAAAAAAAAAAAAAAATTGAGTAGCTGTGTAATGTCATCATATTTTTTTTTTAGAGTGACCACATAAGCCTAAATTAAAGATAATTTCTGGAGACATCAAAAATTTTCCAACCAAATAGCTCTTTTTCACTTATTTAGGGAACTTTACAGAAGAGGTACACAGCAATTTAAGTGGAATGAGAAGGGTCTTGCGAATGAGTTTCGAGCAGCTCTCACATCCATGAGCAGGGGCAGGCGGGTGACCCTCTGCATGGGCAGGATGAGGAAGGAGATCATGGGCAGGTTCCTGCAGTCCTCGTGGGCCTCGATCCTGGACAGCACTTCCTTAAACGCGGGGTTGGTGGCTCTGGGGGAAAACAAAACACAAGGGATCTGCAGCACAGTTTCGCGTGGACTACAAACACTGATACGTTCACGTCTAGCAATCATTTTAAAATCTATGAAAACAAAAAATAACAAACGCAGTTACACAGGCAAACACGTGGCTTGTTTTTTTATGAGGATGATTCAAAAAGGTTCATGGAAAGCGAAATCCAGAGAATCTTTGGTGCCAAAAATGTTTGAAATGCATGCACAATTCTTTTCATAATATGAATTTCCATGAAATTTCTGAACATCTCTTGTACATTCGAGGGTAACTTTAAGGTGTGTACTTCACAGAACAACACCAAGAAGATAAAAAATCTGAGTCAGAAATTTCTAGATGTAAATAGCAGACAAACGAAGAGGCAATTTTAGCATAATGGTGAATAAAGCAATTATGATTTGTTACATACAAGATCTCCTATCTAATCATCCATAAACATATTCCATTAACTAACGTTCTGGAATCTTCTCTCAAGACCTAGACAATGACCTAAGCAAGAAATGTCAATTAGACTGGACGCAGCGATGAGGCTCTGGCCTTTGTTACGGGTCCTCATTCCGAGACAGAAAACCTTTTCCAAAATGTTTCTGGATGTGACAACAGTGATAATACTGACATGTTTAGCTACTGTAATGAAGTACCCCAATGTATATTCTTTCATAAAGAATACCAATATAACTTTTAAGGAAGGTTCAGCTGGGGATTCCAGTAAGAAAAAAAAAATAAAAACTAAAAAGGGCTTTACCTCGTGACATAATACTGAGAGGAAAACTTCCATAAAGATCTAGCTCACTTGTATAACATTGAAGATCTCGGGATGAAGTGGCTTCTTTCCAACACTGCCCGGCTTGCGTCTCCCTCCTCACCTCCCCCTGGGAACTCCACTGGCTCAGTCCGTGGGGATAAATGGTCCCAGGGAGACTGGATGGTGAACTCCCACAGTTGGAGAAAAAAGAAACAGCAGGGAGCAGGGCAGTGACGGTAATTAGCACTTTTAAAGTAACCTATTCGGAAAAGATGTTCTGGTTTGAGGCTGCTCAAAATCCACTGTCTGTCGTGAATGGCAAAGCTTGGGGCAGGGGCGGAGAGCCAGGCTGCCTGTTGCTTCCTTCCGAATGCTCAGTGGCTGAACCAGCCGGCACAGTGCCGAGGCATCCCTGGGGTACCAGGATGACGCAGTGCTTCAAGTCTCAGCTCCAGACCCTATTCCAGCTTCTTGTAAATTCACACTTTGAGAAGCAGCAGGTCCAAGTACTTGGAATCTGGTCACCAATAATTTTATAAGAGCTTTGGTGACAAATTTTCAAAAGGTAATTTTTCGTCCCTAACTCAAACACACGAACTCTAAATGTGATCCTCTCCAGCATTCCTCCCCTGGAAGTAGCCCACAAGGGCACATTTTCTGAATACGGTTTAAGAAATCAATTCATTTCAATCAATGTGGCCTAATTAAAACTGGGTTAGACTATTCAAGCTGTAGCATCTAAACACTGCTTACAACAGCTTCTGCAGAGTTCGCTGCTGGTACACTTCATTTGTGCAGTATTTCACATATGGGTCAAACGTGGAAGCTGTGTGTCTTTCCACAATGTCGCTGATGTCATCTATGAAGATGTTATTCTGATGTCTTGCTTCCAACTCTGTAAAGAATCTGAAAAAAAAAATCCACAAAAAGAAAGGAATGGTAAGCATTTGCACGTTTTCCCTATCTTCAACACAGAATAGTTTATCCTCACATAATGGTGTTAGCCAGGGTCCACAGCATCAACAGCACACAGGAGCAACGCTAGAAGATCCAAAGACACCAGCATCTTGCTGCGTGGCTCAGCCCTGGGGGACCGGGAGCCCTGTGTTCCGTGTCAGAGGAACACCAGCCGTGCTCCTGATCCCGGCCTCCTGCTGCTGCGCGGCTGAAAGACAGTGCTAAGGGCTCAGGTACAGGATCCCGGCGACATGCGGCACCTGCTTGGAGACTCGGCTTTGGTTTGGTCTGTGTGGGGCAGTGCAGGCCCCGGGGAAGTCAACCAGGAGATGAGATCAATCTCCATCTGCCTACTGTCTCCCTCAAATACACTGATTTATTAATTTAGATACTTACTCATCTACATGTTTATGAAAACTGTAACTTTTAATTTACCATATCAACATCATAACTTCTTCAAGTGTTTGGCTTAAAATGATATTAACACTGGGCATTTTTTCGGCCTTGAAGTACATTTTTAGAATATACAAATATCACTGTTTTTCTAGATATATTTTACTAGATTTTATGTATTTCATTGTATTGAAAAGCACATGAATAAAACATTTAAACAAACATTTACAAAACAAATCTGATTTGTTTTGTACCCAATTCTGTGTGTCCTTTCTCTCAAAAGAAAAACACAGCACTTGGGCCCGGCGCGGTGGCGCAAGTGGTTAAGTCCTCGCCTTGCACGCCCGGGATCCCATATGGGCACCGGTTCTAATCCCAGCAGCCCCACTTTCCTTCCAGCTCCCTGCCTGTGGCCTGGGAAAGCAGTTGAGGACAGCCCAAGGCTTTGGGACCCTGCACCCGCGAGAGGCTCCTGGCTTCGGGTCGTCATAGTATCGGCCGTTGCGCTCACTTGGGGAGTGAATCATTGGATGGAAGATCTTCCTCTCTGTCTCTCCTCTCTGTATATCCGCCTTTCCAATGAAAAATAAATAAATAAATCTTAAAAAAAAAGAAAGAAAAAAGAAAAACACAGCACTTTAAATGTATTAATCTGCACTCTATTTATAGGTCTTCCCAATTTATTTTAGATCGCAATTATGGGTTAGCACACTTAGTGTATATATGAATGGTCAGTTGAGCGGCCATTGGAAGACATGGGCTCCATGACAACTTAGAGTTAGCCAAGTGGTGTTATATATCTGTTCACATACACACACGTGTGTTAACATGTATGTTTGTATATCATCACATGTAATTTACGGGTACATAAAAGGCCTTCCAAAAGTGCATGAAAATGAATAGCATGAAAAACTGCAGGGATTTCAAGTTTTTTGCACCAAAATAAATGTGTCTCCTAATTTCATTTTTCCATCGACTATGTGAAGATCTTTCCTATAAGTGTGTGTGTGTGTGTGTGTGCGTGTGGTTACGCACACACAGAGTGCCACTGTTTGTGCATTGCCCCATTCCTCTGCTGATGGACACTTTGGCAGCTTCCATTTTCTGGTCTCTATGAGAAATGCTGCATTGAACACTCACATAGAAGTATTTGAGTTTCTGTTCTCAAGTCTTTGAAGCGTACACCTAGAGTGGACTCCGTCCCAACAGAAACGGAAGCGCAGTACCAAGAACCAGCGAGGAAGCCAGCGAACTGTCAGAGGCCACTGGCCCAGCAGAGCCAGGGTGGCTAGGGAACGGCCCCTCCCTGGCCCCAGTCACAGCTGCATGGCCAGCTGAGCAGTGCGGGGAAGGCGAGGGGCCAGAGACCACTAGTCCAGCAGAGCCAGGGTGGCTAGGGAATGGTCCTTCCCTGGCCCCAGTCACAGCTGCATGGCCAGCTGAGCAGTGAGGGGAAGATGAGGGGCCAATCACAACACAGCACCTGCAAGAGGGATCTGCAGAAATACAGACCAAGCATTCAAGTCTTCATTCCTGGTCCCTAAACACAGCTCCCAAGGCCCTGGAGCTCCAGAGTGATAAGGTGGCTTTTTCTTTCATTCTTTTTCTTTTTATGTTTTTGAGATTTATTCATTTTTTACTGGAAAGGCAAATATACAGAAGAGGAGTGACAGAGAGGAAGATCATCTGTGTGCTGACTCACTTCCCAAGTGGCTGCCACAGTCAAAGCTGCGCCGATCCAAAGCCAGGAGCCAGGAACTTCCCCCGGGTCTCCACACAGGTGCAGGGTCCCAAGAATTTAGGCCATCCTTGACTGCTTTCCCAGGCCACAAGCAGGGAGTTGGGTGGGAAGTGGGGCTGCTGGGATTAGAACCAGTGCCCACACGGGATCCAATGCATGCAAGGCGAGGACTTTAACCACTAGGCAACTGCACTGGGCCCAAGACAGCTTTTTCTTAGGCTAAGACAATAAGCGGTGACTGGTGGCCCTGGTGGATTCAACAAAGGGTGGGTCAGCAGAAAGCTCAGGCCGTGGTTACTGTTGCACGTTTCAGCTCCTAACCTGCCACCCACAGGAAGGGAAGAGGGTTGTGAACTGGGCTCAGTCACCAAGGGCCAGTCCTTTCATAAATGAAACCTCTGGGTGCAGAGAGTCTTGGGGAACAGCGAGGTGCTGGGGGAGCAGTGTGCCCGGAGCCAGCGCTGAGGCTGTCCTCCTGTCCTCACCGGCCTCTGTGCTGTGGACAGGCGTTTGCAGTTGCCCGTTGCTAGGCTGCATCCTTTAGTATAAGCAAGTAACATGGTGCTGTAAAGTGTGTTAGCAGAACTCTGTGAACCTACAAGGTGGCAGGTCGCAACTCCCTGATCTTGTAGCCAAGGAAGACAGACATGTGGGTGACTTGGAAACCTTACTGCTTGCAACTAGCATCTGAAAGGAGGTAGGATTGTGAGATTAAGTCCTTAAAACTTCTGGAGTTCTGGCCCGGTACAGTAGTTTAGTGGCTAAAGTCCTCGCTTGGTGAGCATTGAGATCCAACACGAGCTTGTGGCCCGGGAAAGCCTTGGGACCCTGCACCCATGTGAGAGACCTGGAGGAGGCTCCTGGCTCCTGGCTTTGGATCAGCACAGCTTCGGCCATTGAGGCCACTTGCGGAATGAATCAGCGCACAGAAGATCTTCCTCTCTTGTGTGTCCTCCTCTCTGCATATCTGCCTTTCCAATAAAAAGAAATAAATCTTTTTAAAAAACTGAAAAACTTTTTGGAGTCCAATGCTAAATTCTGGTAGTTTGTGTCAGTACACAACTGAAGTGTAGGGCACTCAGTCACCGTCTGTAGAGCTCAAAACTTGGCAAAGCAAAACCCTACACCTACAGCGCCAGCAGTCTAAGGAAAAACAACGCAGGGAGTGAGTGAGGACACTGCAGCGGGCGTGCCAGTCAAGGGGAGGCTAAGCACAGGCTGGGTCATCAGGTCATCAGCGAGGCGCCATGTGACACAGGCGGCAGAAGCAGCGTGGGCACAGGACAGCTGGCAGGGTTTGGTGAGGGCACAGGAGGAACAGGGGCAGACAATGAAGACTGGACAGTGAACAGTGCGTTGCAGCCAGATTGCCAAGGTCTCACTGTGTGTTGGGGAACTTGGGCTCAGCCTTTACCAGTGGAAACCCATCCGAGGTGTGGAAACCCATCCGAGGTGTGGAAACCCATCAGAGGTGTGGAAACCACAGCACGTCTCTGTTAGGGCAGAGGAAGGATGGAAGGACGGATGGCAAGCCGAAGAGGCAGAAGGCAAGCAGGCCAGTCGCACGGCTCACGTGGGCAGGTGACATCAAAGTCTGGCAGAAGCAAGTCAACAAGACGGGTTCCACATCAGGGTAACAACAGGAGGTAAAAATGAGGAGGCTCAAGAAATTCACTAGACCCAAAGTCAAGGGAAATGCGGGGCTCTCCGGGCTGTGTGTCCACCTGGGCAACAGATGGGTTATGAAACCATTTCTGAGGACAAGGAGTTCAGAGGGGAGAGAGGAGCAGGGAGGAAGCGGCCTAACGCTGCCTTGGGCCTGTCTAATGGAAGCTGAAAACACCCATCTGTGAGAATCAGAGGAACTAGAACTCCAGCTGTTATTCAAAGTCACGGTGAGTCCACAGCTAACTTGCTTTCATTTAATGCAGAGTATCCTTTTATATCACAAATTTTCAAAATTTGATAACAAATTAACTTTAAAAAAACTATTCTTCAGGTCATTATCATAGCATTCTGGAAAAGACATCTGTCTCTCTTGCTTTAAAAAGGATGGAATGCTACACGGATTTGCATGTGACCCTCGCACGGGGTCCTGCTGATCTCTGCATCACTCCACTCTCAACATCCATGCCACAGAGGTGAGCCCGGCAGTAAGTGTCTCCGAGGCACATCTTTCTTAGTCTCTTGTCTTTAGCTAACTGTTAACAACCTGCAGGAAGGCCATTACATAGCCAAAAACAACAGTAACTTGGCTTTTTGTAATGGAAAGGAAAAATTTCATTTATGACCGTGGTAAAGCTTGCCAAACTGCAAGATAAAAAGCCAAACACTAATGGATTTGTTCATTATTGCTCCTTTAACACAACATAGGTGAAGCCACTTTCATTTGGACACGACATAATTTACAGCTTTCTAGGTTGCATTATCTATTTTGGCAAATTTGTGCATCTCACTAAAGGAGCAGAGCTTCAAAAATCCTACCAAAATGCCAATCTTGCTCCTGAAATCTGCATTTGTATAGACCTCTTGCAGACAAGGCCACTCAGAAACAATCCCTCCCACCAAGAAAGGCCAGGTAGCCCTGCTGAGTGCTTGCTCCCCGCGGCCCTGCAATCACGCCCATCCTTCAAAGGAGTGTTTCACTGGAGTGCATCCCCGCCAAGAGGTCCCTCAGCCCACAGGGAGCGCTCTGAGTAGCTACAACAGTCAGCCTCGTGGAGGCAAGTCTCATGGGGTGGGACTTCAAGACGGCTCATGGGGATTTGTCCCGGTTGCAGAAGGAGCCTGAGACACAGCTCGCCCTTGGCCTCTA